GCAGCAAACCCAGCGAGGAGGCTGGAGTTCCTACCTGACGCCAGTCTGTGAACCTGTAGAGTGAGGCAGAGAGCGACATAGCCAGGCAGAGCGGAGCTCACTGTGGAGCTGGGAGAGAACAAGGGAACCTTCCTTGTCATCGTAGCTTGGTCTGGGGAACAGGAGAAATAACAAACCAGTCGGCGAGTGAGTGGGATGCAGTGACAGCTCCACGGGGCATTGGGGAGGAGGTCAGACATCCTGTACCAGGGAAGGGAATGGATTCAGATGAACAGGCATTGTCTGCACCTGTTCTGACCAGGGTTAGATGACTTGGTGCTTAAAATGCCATATTCAGTGGCTGCTTGTTTTCATTAGTGCTTGCACCATGGCTACCACTCATGGAAACCAATGGCAGCAATCCAGGGACACGTTAAGAGACAAAGCCAATGTAGAGAAGGCCTGAGAGTGCAGTGGACAGAGCTGAAAATGGAGGGGTCATTTCAATATTAAATATCAAGTTATTGTTGGGGCGAAGTGGCCCCACCTCCCAACCACACCTGTCCCAGGTGAGGGCTCTCTGGGGAGCTCCCTACATGACCATGGTGATTTTATGTGTCAGTTACTCACCCTCATTGTCTCCAGCGTTGGTGCAATGTCAGGGATGAATTCAGTGAGGCATGTCTGTGCCCCTGGGATCTGCAATATCCAAACCGCTCTGACAGACAAAGAGTTTTAGATAAAGTGTTAGAGACACTCAGGTTCATGCTGCACCCAACCATGCAGCCCCTGCCAGGCTGTGCAGTGATGTCAAGTCCTCCCAGGAACCAGACTGTGCCTGGAACTTCCCCTAGACTGGGACAGCCGCCAGGGCCTGTGTTGCCCACAGAGCGGCAAGCACTGGCCAGGAAGGGAGCCTGACCAGGGCTCCACGGTGCAGACTCACGGCCTCCCCCACTCCCCATGACTCCTACTGACAGAGCTCTAGGGCAGGTGAAGGACCTCCTGCCCTGGCAGACACCCATGGGGTGTATGGCAGCAGTAACAGAACCTGCCATCCCTCCAGGCACTGGCCCTGAAGACTTGTGAGGGGCTGGGAGGGATTAGCTGATTCTAGACCAATGTTTTTCTCTTCTCCTCTTTCACCCCCTCGCTCTGAAACTTCAGTTTAGTGATGCAGGCCAGAATTCGCCATTGTGAGTTCAGCATCATAGCAACAGCACCTAAGTTTTAGGTGCCTGGGAGATCACAGGGACTCACAAAACCTGAATTAGGTGCCCGGGGTCCCATACAATGAACGGGAAGAGGTAGGTGCCCTAGACTGCCATTCACAAAAGCCAGCACACTAAGCAGGGAGCTGCCTAAGCTAGCCCACGGGAGATGCCAGCCAGAGGGGAGTGTGCTAAGCCCCGCCCCTCTCTCAGAGATAAGCACCTCACTCTGGGCTGCAGACAGGCACATATCTCTGGTAGAGACAACAGCGGGGGACTGGCTTTGGAGCTGGGCACTTATGCCAGTTTAGCCAGAAGCTGGGGGGGGGAAAGGAGGAGATGCCCTTCCCTCGTAGCTTTTAGCCCAGCAGTTAGAGCACTCCTCTGGGGTGTGGCAGGCCCCTGGTTTAAGTCCCCCCTCAGGCAGAGCGTGAGAAGGGATTTGAACGGGGATCTGCCATCTTGCACGTCAGCGCCTGAATCACTGGGCTCCAGGATATCTGCTGTGGGGTCCCTCAGTCTGTCCTGGTGAAGCCGTTCCACTGTGTATAAATAATGAGAGAATCATTGGAATAGGGGACTGGATCCTGGGTCTCCCACATCCTAGATGATGATGTAACCACCAGGTTACAGAATCATACTGGAGCTTGGGCTCTCCCATTTGGGCCAGAGAGAGTGAAAGCACCCACATGAGAATAACTCTGTAGCCTAGTGGTTCACGCGCTCACCCAGAAGTGAGGAAGCCCCATGTCAACTTACCCCAGAGGTCAACAGTTAAGGCCCTTACCTAAGAGGTGACAGATCCCAGGTCACATCCCTTCTACCCCCTCAGATACAGTTCCCACTAACACAACCCAATCTACCCAATCCCTGACAATTAGTACGATTGGGTAGAGTGCTAGAGATAGGAGCACTTCTTAAGCTGTTTTCAGTTAAGTTTGCAGCTTTAGGGGGACATGGTTCAGATCTGGGTCTGTGTTTTCAGCAGGCTAGCATGTCTGTCTCAACAAGACAGGGTACTGGAGTCCCAAGCTCGCAGGGAAAGTGGGCTCAGAGGTAGTCTCAGCACATCAGGTGGCAGTCCCAAGGGGGTTTCTGTGACCCAAATCATCACAGGCAGCAGGCTGTAAAAGAGACCAAGTTTGGGAATATTTTAATGAAGTTCCTCTACGTGTGGTTAAGACAGGCATGTGTGCAAAATGCAAACAGTACAACAAAGAAATGCAAGGCCTGGTTTCCCAAATGAAACAACATCATGAGAAGTGTTCTTTCTCAGGAGGAAGCTACGTTGAAGATGATGAAAGGAACATGTCTGAACATGCAGGATCTTCAGGTTGGTAAACTTTTTTATTTCATACTTCTTTCTTAAGGACTGCCTGTCTTCCTTCTGGTTTATTCTTGGATTCTCATGTTTGAGCAAAAAATATAGTTGTTACTCTGTGGTACTATCATTTTAGATGCAGCTGTGTTAAAAAATAAATAGCTGAAATAGGTAGATCTTCCTTTTACAATTTCACCTTTAAAGTAGTACTGAGTGTCAGTGAATACAATGAGTAATACTAAATGAGCAGTATGGTAACAATAATTAAATAACTGCAATGACTTATTTTGTTTAGGAGAATCCAGCCTCAAAATACAGGATTCTGAAGACTATCCACTGTCAAGATCACCATCATTTTCTATAGTTTCAGAGTTATCTGCCAATGATAGTGTTTCAGTCACATGTATGTCACATAGCCACAGTACATCACCTGTAGCAAAAAGAAAAAAATAACTCCATCATCCAGAAACAACCATAGCTACATTTGTGATAAGAACCAGCAGATTACAAAAAGAGGTAACT